CAGCTGCCCCTATCCAACCCCCCCAATTCAACAACTTAAACCATCAGTCAGTGCTGTGGCCAGTAGTCAGCTAGTCATAGTTAACAGGAATATTGCCACCACAGGCGCCAGAGCAACGGAGTGAGTGCAGCAAATGCATCCCCATTATTCAGTTAGAGGGAGCAGTTATGGTTTTGCTCCCCCACGTTTTCCTTCTTTGTGTCAAATATTTTTTATTGGCAGCACTAGTGCAAAAAGCTTGACATTCGTACAGAATATGAAACTGCTTCAAGTTTTATCACATGACGTGACATGATGTAACATAAGGGGAAGAAAGAGAGGAAAGCAAACAGCCTAACACAAAAACCAATAGCAAACAGACAAGACAAAAAATAGACAAAAGCAAAAAACAAAACAAGAATAAAACACAACAAAAGAAACCCTTCAGACCGTCCAGTTGCCCATGTGCCCAGTACCTTTTGTAGTTCTTGAGTTTGTATGTGTGTTCCTCGAGAAAAGAAACAAATGGTGACCAAATCTTCACAAACTTCTTCAGTTTGTCATTTAAGATAAACCTAATTTGTGTATCCGTAAGTTCTGTGATCCACAACTTCACAGGAGGGGCCTCTGCTTTTTTCCAAAACTTAAGTGTGAGTTTTTTAGCCCCTGTTAGCCCATAGGAGACAAAGTGTTGTTGAGAAGTAGTCAGCTTTCTAATAGCTTCCGATCCTCCCAGTATAATCATTTCTGGATCTGGTTCCAGAGGGACTTTTAGAGGAGATTAGAGACTTTCTATCTTGGGGCAAAGTACAAAGCTATGGGCTAAAGTGGCGTCCTGGAATTGACATTTATCATACAGCAGAACAATGCACTGGAACAAAATAATCAAAGTTATTCACTTCACTTGTCAGTGGTTTGAATGTTTTGGCTGATCGGTGTGATTATAAGCATGTTCCCATGATCATCTGCTGGGAGCAAAAACTTGAATTGATCCAGTGTTTTATAATTCCTCAGTAACTGATAAGCCAGGGACGTGCCCAGGGACTTGAACATGTTCACCTTCTCTGACCTGACAGGTGCAGTGGTGATGGTAGTAATTAATTTAAAACAGAAATGAAGACACACCTGCTGTGAGAAATAATTATGAACGCGTTCCTGTGATCATGCCATATCTGTGGAACAAACACTTGAATGGTTTCCAGCATTTTAACAGTTTCTGAGGAACTGCTGAAACAAACAGGTCTTGCCACTGTGGTCTAACAGCGACTTCTGTGACACACACAAACACACACACACACACACACACATATTCTCATAGTTCTATTCTTGTGAGGACCCTGATTGACACAATGCATTACCTCGCCCGTTACCCTAAGGGATTGTTCATCATCTATGAGAGAGAAGGGGTTGTTGCAAAAAATAATTTTTTAAGCACTTAGGAAGAGCTCATGTTTTCTACTTTAGCTCAGAGGAGGGGCGTATAAATTTAAATGACTGTATTTTGTATTTATTTCACTGCAGACTTTTAAAGAAAACATTCCTTCAAAATTTTGCCAATTTTGCCAATTTTGCCGATCATTTCAGTGATAATTTTTGGAGATATCTTTTAGTGAGTTTTAAAGAAAATGTAAATTTAAAAGAAAAAAGAATTTAAAGAAAAGGCTTTATGTATATTGTATGTATGTATTACATGTATTACATAAAGCTACACACACACACACACACACACACACACACAACAACAGCAACACATAAGAGCCACAGTTCATCTCCTTCTTACAGCTCACAGTATTCTTTTTTGATTTACTCCTCTACATCATATTTGTTTGTTTGTTTTCACACACAAACACATAAAACATGTTTATAGGTAAACACATATGAGATGCGTATACTCATAAACGTACATACTGTACATATATTTTTGTATTTTGCTCACCAATGTATTGACCTATTTTGCTGTGTTGACTAATGTTACATGTGTTATCAGTTTTCATTCACTGCATTTGAATTGTTTTTGTGTTTCAGCAACACATATTAACTATGGGCCCTAGGCCTTTTTGGGGTATTTGGACATTCTGTCACTTCACAGTTGTCCAAAACATGTGGTTTGTGCCAGGCGGACATGATTGCCAGTATTTTTTCAATATTGCAAGAAATTCCATTGACTCATTCACAAGTCAAAAATGTGTTTTATCTGAAAGAAACATGCAATATTTACATCTAAGATCATAGAAAAATAGTCAACCAAGTGCAATGATGTCATCCAAGATAATATTTGCCACTTTGTTTGCAGTAAACAAAGTTTGTTGTTGTTTTTCAGTTTCAGTTATATACTGGGGGGGCATTTTGTGCATTGGGGGGGGGACACACATGTCCCCCTCAATGACTACGGCCCTGTCATGCATGCATAATTAGGCTACAGTTGTCTGGGTGCGCAAAGGTGAAGTGGCTGGTCTTGTCATACAAAGTTTGATGAGTGTCAACTGGACAATATGGAGATATTTGCATCTTGAAAGCAGGACTACAAATGTGGATAGACAGGGAGAAACACATGCAAGCCTAAGACGTGGTCAGATACGATATTCCCCACTATATGAAGTGACTGATAACAAGAGCTGTATAATGGATTGTAAAGAAATTTGTCAGGTTTTTATTTTGTAGAGAATTGATCTGTATTTATAGCGTGATGGGATGACAGCACAATGATGTGTGTGGTATCACTGGAAAGCTCTGCTCCTGCGCTTTCATGTGATATGTGTGGCATTTCTGTGCATTCGCGAGTAATCCATCCAAGAGTAATGTGTGTGCAAAGCTGTATGAAAGCTCTGTTATACATCATTTTAGTGTAACTTTATCATTTTCGCTGTGAAAATCCATAGAGAAGAACAGGTGTGAATTTGGACACACTATGCGTCGTTCGGGCCCATAGGGTTAAGGCTTTTATAATATGGTGCAAATTACTTATTGTAAATGTTGATATGCTACAGTAATAGCAATTACAATTATAGCTGCTGTGCAGCGATGGGTTGGGTCCAGGCATTTTTAGGTAATTCTGAGCAACAAGCAGAAGAAGTGGAAGACATTTAGGAATTTAGCAACACAATCTGACTTTTGCATCAGCTGAGGCTTGAACTCAACCTCTGAGACTAAGAATCAATTTCTATTTCACTGAGCTAATTAGTCAGTGACAATTCATGTGTAGCTTCACAAACTGACTAAGCCAGACGTGCAGGTTTAGCAGCCGTCCATGCATGGAAAAGCAGATTTCAAACCACTGTAAAAAATTAAGTTATTTAGACAAAAATCTGAAAATACACATATTGCATCTAGACAGCATGGAGATGTTGGTAATTTGTTTGTAACAATGATTGATTTGCTCCATAAGTGAAAAACTGATGTTTAAAATTGCCATTTTTACATTGACTCCAATTGTTCACATTAGAGCAAAATTCAAAATGCTGTCAAAAATTCAGTTTTTGAGATAAAATTCTGAAATTTGCCACACATCGTCTACCATGACTCTAGAATTTTGTCATTTTTTTCATGAACATTGAAGATTTATTTAGCAAGAATTTGCATGTATATGTTTACAGTACCGTTTACAGTCAAACATTTTGATGCACTGTAGGCTCAATTTTTGATAAATCAAAAATCTGAGAAACATAGTTTTTGTAGGACAGTCTGAAGATGCTCTGTAGCAAGTTTGGTGTCAATTGAGCAAAAATTGTGGGAGGAGATAGGTTTAAGAAGTTTTACAGTTTTTGAAAAAAACAGAGTGATGAACTTCATAATTTTTAATAGGTTTAAATGTACAAAAGTTTCTTCAGTATTGGGGCTACAGCTTGATGAAAGTTGTGAAGTTGTAGCACGTATGGTTGATTTGTTATGAATTTTCAAAGTTTAGAACTTTAGACGCTTGCTGTAGCGCCACCATCAGGACTATTGGCTTGAGTTTACAGCTGAGGATATCTGGCATGAGACTGGACCTTTGTGCAAAGTTTGGTGAGTTTTCACCCATGGGAAGTATGATTTCCTCGGAAGAAGAAAGAAGAAGAAGAAGAATACCTAGGATTACAATAGTGTCCTGGCAGCTTAGCTGGGACCCTAATAATGTTGCGGCTCGCAATAGAATCTGAAGCTTAGTGACTAGATGTTTTTTACATCTTGGGAGCTGTAGTTGACTTTTCTCTTTCAGTGTTTATGTCCAAAGGCTCCACAGTATTTGTTAGAAAGACTCCAAATATATTTTTCATTTATTGCTTGCCATATTGGTTTCTGTGTTTATGACCACTTGGCGGCGGTGTTGTACCACTGTTCATGATACCTGCTGTGTCTTTCTTCTTCTACAGTGTTTTTATAGAAGTCATCAGTGAGTAGCTCCCAGTCACGTTTACTCTCCGTTGTGCAGCATTGTTGTTCTCATGTGCGTCTCTGAAGAGCAAGTAGATTATTCATTCTGTTTATTCATTTGCACTGTTGTTTGATATGACTGCTTTTACTGTGTTGGCTGCTCAGCTAGTGTTTTGGAGGTGTAACTGCAGAGTGACACAGACACACCACCACACAAGTATAAATACAGGACTTATTAACCAATTCCCAGATGAATAAAAAATTTAGGCTTTAATCAAGTTATGTTTCTGCTTCCTAACAGTCAGTTGGATAAGTCAGAGTTTACAGTGAACCTGGGGACAAATCCTAGTTGTCTCACATTAGTTATTTGTTGAGAGCAAAAATGAAACCTGTCTCCTTGATTCTGATTTCTGATTAGCCTCACTGGATTAGTTTAAAGTGGAAAAAAGATATGGAAAACATAATGACTGAAATGCTTTGAATTTTTATCTATGAAGGATTAACTTAACTTAATGACTTAAATGTGACGAATACTATTCAACATTTTTTAATCTTAAGACTAAATCTTAAACAGCTGCCTGTGAGGGCGTCTGTGGGCCAACAGAGAGACAGCAAAGGTAAAAATATGTGATTATATAAAATGTAATAAAATAACCCAGACACAGCGGAGCTTCTTCAGATCTATGTTAGCTTGTTTATTTTGGGAAGATTACGGATCATGAAACATCATAATTCATCAAAGCAGTTTCCTGTCACGGTACTAAACCCCTCCAGAATACCCACAATTCTCTCTGCTCATCACAGATTCGTATTGATTCAGTTTAACATGTTTCTGGTTTCCAGGTCAATTAGAGAACGCACAATAACTCTATACAAACAGCGTCTGGATATTAATTCTTTTTCCTGGTATAAAAATAAGTTCTAAGTGCTTCACACACTTTAATACTGTCTCTGCTTCGGCGTGTTCACAGCTCGGATGTCGTAAAACTCTCCAGAAACAAACAGAAGAAACAGTTATCGAGTTGGACTGAAGGATGTGTCGCCTGCTGCTTTTAAGTCTGCATTTGTAATTATTCGGGGAAAAAAAAGATGATGTTGAGTTGTCTTAACTGCAGCTCGTACTCACAGTCACCAGTTGGAGGCGCAGTTTAGGAGCAAGATCCAATATCTTCATTTTTACTTTACTTTTAAATCATAAGTTAAAAAAACTACAACTTTTCCTTTTTCAGACTGTAAACAGAAGACGGTTTTATCAAGGAAACTAATTTTAATTTTGTTTTGTTCAGACTACTTTTGTCAAATCCATAATGTCTTATTTGTAATAACCATAGAGACATATGAACGTAAGCTTTTTCCTAATTTAGTGTTTTAGTTACCAAACCCCTTACTATAATTTATAACTATGATCTCTTGCCATGAGCAGATGTTGAAGAAAGAGAGAATTCGTAAACTAATCTGGGCTTTGATGTTCTTGTTTGGTGAGAGGTTTAAAACATCTGGAGATGAGGGGAGTTATAGGATCGCAGCTAGCTCATTTCTTTCTCTTTCTTTTTTTAATAGAAGCTGAAGAAACAACACACCATGTGAACATGAAAATACTGAAACATGGAAAAGAAATATCAATAAAAAGAGAAAACTCCCCACATGGCAGTGAAGACCTGACACTGATATGTGAAATGACCATGACTTCTTCACACCACAGTTATAATATGTTACATTTACGTGCTACCACCACAGAAACAATGCCAATGGAAAGTCAATTTGGCCCTGTAATCACCGAAGAATTTTTTCCCAGGTGAAAACACCAGGTGCCCCTCTGGGAACACCCAGCCCGGACCGTTAGTGAACGCTTTGGAGGCATGTTAGCCCAAGGTAGAGTACTTGGTCTGGATTTTGGATCGTTTGACACATTATGTCCCCCCATTACAACGTAAAGCCAACTTAAGAGGTCGTGGTCATTATGTATTTCTTGGAGATCAGGTTGTTTCTGTTCCTGTTTGTTAAAATACGCGGCTTAAGTTTCATCAGTGTTGTCGAGCAGCCGTATTATCGGCCGTAATAAAGCTTTTAACAGCTGACTGAGACAACAAGCTGTTTAAAGCACCTCAAACATGACGGCAGAAAAACTAAAGACATTTCCTCAAGGCAGTGTGTTAATGATGAGGGAGAGAAAGCTCACCACACAAAGTTCATTTGGATTCCTCTCAGATGTACGCTAACAAAAAACTACATATTCACAGTTTGTAGAACTACAAAGTCCAGAATGTCATGAGTAAAAACAGGCTTTCCATTTTAAAATCCCAAATTTCAGTTCTATCTTAAACATTTTACAGACGCCAGGAAAACCGCCGAAATGGTCGAAAGTAGACAACAGTGCAAAACTACATTTTGCAGTTGAAAGACATTCAAAAGAACTACAAATCCCAGGTATCTTAAACATAAAAGCACGGGTTTACAAGAAAGGATAAAATAACAAAATCTATTTATCTAATTATTGAATATTGTCAACATGCTACTAGAAACATGCAAACAAACTAAAAAGAAAATAAAAATATTAACTGATGAAAACATTAATTCAAACTTAGAGCCAATCACAGGCCGTCTGCAAGCTACTTCATCAATCACATGATAATCGCAGATATATACCTAATTCAGAGAAGAATATTTTGAAGAAAGAAACAAGATGTGATGAGTGAGGAATTTGTTTCAGGGCGACCGGCGAGTCAGAAACATTTTCCAGCAGCGGTTTTAAAAACATATCTTTTTGTCTTCCTGTAGAAGCCCCAGCGTAAAGGTGCATCCACACTATTTTGCTTTTTGTAGAAATAACTTCTGTTTTGTTTCCTGTTTAAAGTGACGAACGTTCAGGAGTCCATTCGTTCCCGCTGTTTTTAACCTTCACAAACTTTAAACAGATTTTAAATGGCAGTTTGAGAAAAAAGCTGTTTAGTGTGAATGCGTCTTTAGCTGCAAGTGTTTTTCTCTGTTGGAAAACGGTCTCTTAGAAAACGCCGTATCCGTCGGTGTGGCGCGTCGCCACAGCGAAGGCGGGGTATCCCTCATAGGTTGTGTAGGCAGTCAGGTCCTGACCCAGAGATACAGCCTGCTTCAGCTGGGAGGCGACTGCAGACGACGCCGGGCTTGCCAGAGTGTAACCTGGAGAGAGACGAGACAAAAACACAACCTTTCATCATCCAGTCTTTAACTTCAAAATATGTTTATATTAAGGCTCTCAATCGATAAAAATATTTAATCGGGATTAACTGCACAATTGTTTGTCGTTAACAAATGAGGTTCTTAAAGGGATATTTTTCAAGTTTCAATATTCTTATCAACATGGGAGTGGACAAATGTTTTTGCTTTATGCAAATGTATCTTACTAATGACGAAAACTCTGTGTGTGTGTCTGTTCCATGTTTTTCTCCTCACTGACTTGGTCAATCCATGTGAAATTTGGCACAGTGGTAGAGGGTCATGGGAGGATGTGAATGAAGCAATATTACATCAATTTGCCAAAGGGGGGCGCTATAGCAACCCATTGAAATGTCAAACTTTGAATGGGCATATCTCATGCCCCGTATGTAGTAGAGACATGAAACTTTGCACAGAGATGCCTCTCCTCATGAGGAACACATTTGCCTCAAGAACCCATAACTTCCGCTTATATAGATTTTCCGCCATTTTGAATTTTTTGAAAAACACTTCAAATGGATCTCTTCCTAGGAAGTTTGAGCGATCTGCATGAAACTGGGTGAACATAATCTAGGGACCAATATCTAAAGTTCCCTCTTGGCAAAAGTTGGAAAACTTACTAAAACTGAGCTTCTATAAGGCAATGAATATTGCGGAGGTGTATAACATCTCAAGGGTTTCACCCATCACCACGCAACTTTGTAGGCATATGACCAAACATAATCTGAGGGGACCCCTCCATTATTGACCCCATCAAACAAAATGGGGGCGCTAGAGAGCTCATTTCTTATCTAGGCCTAACCGCCATATGGATTTTTACTAAACTTGGTAGATATGTAGAACAGGACGCCTCAAGGTGACTGGAGAAATTTAACTCTAATTGGCAACTGGGTGGCGCTATAACAACAGAAAAATGCTTCAAAATGGCTAAAATGCGACCGATCGCTGTGGCTCCCCCTGTGGACCAATGTTGTTGGTTTTTGTCTAATGTTTGGTATGACTAAGTCATGGTATGGTATGCTGCTGCAACAAGGGCTAGCCGCACCTTTCCCATGTGAACTACCAGTGTGCCCCACTTTTAAGTCAATACAACATATAAACACTTTAACTGCATTTCAACGTGCTACCTCAACTACTAATGTACAGTTTAAGCCCACTAACTATCCCACTATTGGCAATGGTACTACTGTACTTTCAATAAAGCAATCGTACTATCAAAATCACAAAAACTCTGTCTGAATACATTGCTCTTCTTAATGGGTTCAGTTGACTATTTAATCTGCAGTTTCCTATGACCTGTATCCCAAACACACACCATATGAAACTGTACGTGGGCAACTGCGCACTCAATGGGTATGGACTAGTATTTATAATTACTGCAACAATCCAACACAATGACAGATACTGTCCAGAATAACCTCAGAGGTTCTGACAGCTCACAACAGGCTGAAAGCATAACGTGGCAAACTGAAGCCACACAAGCAACAACAGATGGACATATTGACCTGAACGTTACATTAATTAGTGACACTAACACAACATAGTGTCCAACTTTACACTCGTAAAGGTTAATTAAACACCCCCTGTTTTTTAAGCAGCTCCATGTACTCTGGTTGTAAAATTCACATCGACAGTAAAATGCAAATGGCTGAACTTGCTGTTCAAAAGGTACCTTTCTTTATCCATTTCTGCTCCCGGAGGTTTGTTTCTGCTCGCCATCCATAAAGTTACTGATTCATCGCTTCCTGATTTCCCTAGCAGGTGGGCCGAGGGTCATAATTACAGAAGGTACATGTGTTAATCACGTGGCGTTCAAAGGAATTTGTGTTCACTCATTATTAACGCTTTAACTTTGACAGCCCTAGTTTATAAATGTTAATGTTAATTTATAAAGTCCGTCATTATGTTTATATGCACAAAATATTTCGTTTTTGTCCCAAAAAATATTCCGATTAAGCTGTTTACATGGCTGACTAATATTCTATTAACATTCCCGTTGACATGCAGCCATGGATACCCTGGTTAACATGCACTAAGATGATGATATCTGGTTGAAATACAACACAGTGGAATTACTGGAGCCATGTGTGACATTTTGCTTCTTTGCATAAAAATATGATTGTTTTTAAGTTCTTCAGCAGTGGTGGACTTTTTGGACGGTGCGAAACCAGCCTCCGTCTTTAATTCCTTCTGACCACCCTCTTGAAATGTTCAGTGCTGCCATATTTGCACGTATCCAAAAACCTGTTGAATGTTTAAAGGTGTGTTCCTCCTTCCAACCAGAAGTGTTTTCTTTTCTTTTGGACATTCATCTCTCCAACAAGTGCATGACACAAAAACATACATACATACTCCAACAAGACAATCTAAAGCCAACCTTTGATTTTTATAATTTATTTATTTAATTATACTTTATTTCTTTTTCTGATTGTTCCTTTTGTGTTAGTGTTTGTATCACCTCAGTTTGTTGGCCCTGAGCTCCCCTGCCTGTCTTATTCTTTGTTATTTTGTTGTGTTCACGTTGATCACTTGTATAAAAAAATAGCGACTAACAGGAGACTATTAGTGTTTATGTAAATGAACCCCATAACTATGTCCACACAGACACTAATATCACACTATTATTCCAAATATGACAATACTCTGAATTTGATACATGGTGTCATGGTCTCCATCCTCGGCTCATTCTCACTGACCATATTCGTCCTTTTAATTCAGACCTGCCATTTTCCATCCGGCCACCAGATGTCCCCAGTCTTTTTTTTTTCTTGGTCCACATCCTCACCTGTTTTCCACCTGGAATCACCTGGGCTTCCCTCCCTACTCTCTCACCTGTTCTCAGTTACCTCATCACCACTGTCACCAGCTTGTTGTTGGCTCATCTACTCATGTTTCCCTGTGGTTTCTCTGCTGATTCTTTCTGCCTGTTTGCCAGCCCTGCTGCATGTCATCCCATCTGCCAGTAAGCCTGTTTTCTGAGTCTGCCTGTCTGTGTGTCTGTGTTTGGGTGCTCCCAGCCTGTAACACATGACCTCTTGCCTGTTCACATTCAGCTCTTTATGGATGCTTTATACACAAACAACAGTTTTTAAGGCTGGGGTGGAGACACTGCCCAAAATTAAAGCCCACATTTCTGGTTGGAAGTCTTTGATATCACCATGGGTTTGAATATGCACCAATACAGTAACACTGACCTTTTTAAGAAGGCACTTGAAGGAATTAAAGATGGAGGTTCCGTTAGCACAGCCCAACAAGTCCACCACTTTGAAAAAAAATCCTATCATTAAAAAGCAAAATGGCACAAGCAGCTCCGGCTGTTCCACTTTTCCATATTTTAATGTTGTTGTTAATGTTTTAATGTTAGGGCAGGCGTCAGCAGTCTTAACTATCAGTAGAGATCTTTTTGACCAAAATGATTTTAACAAATCTGCCTGGAGCTGCGAAACATATTTGAGCCTTATGGTATCACAGCCTATTAAATCTAAATTAACCTATCAATATTAAAAACTAATCCATACCCACTGAGTACAGCATACCATACCATGACTTAGTCATACCAAAAATTAGAAAACACCAACATTGGTCCACAGGGGGAGCCACAGCGATCAGTCGCATTTTAGCCATTTTGAAGCATTTTTCTGTTGTTATAGCACCACCCAGTTGCCAATTAGAGTTAAATTTCTCCAGTCACCTTGAGGCGTCCTGTTCTACATATCTACCAAGTTTAGTAAAAATCCATATGGCGGTTAGGCCTAGATAAGAAATAAGCTCTCTAGCGCCCCCATTTTGTTTGATGGGGTCAATAATGGAGGGGTCCACTCAGATTATGTGTGGTCATATGCCTACAAAGTTGCGTGGTGATGGGTGAAACCCTTGAGATGTTATACACCTTTATGTGATGAGCCACGCCCTCCGCAATATTCATTGCCTTATAGAAGCTCAGTTTTAGTAAGTTTTCCAACTTTTGCCAAGAGGGAACTTTAGATATTGGTCCCTAGATTATGTTCACCCAGTTTCATGCAGATCGCTCAAACTTCCTAGGAAGAGATCCATTTGAAGTGTTTTTCAAAAAATTCAAAATGGCGGAAAATCTATATAAGCGGAAGTTATGGGTTCTTGAGGCAAATGTGTTCCTCATGAGGAGAGGCATCTCTGTGCAAAGTTTCATGTCTCTACGACATACGGGGCATGAGATATGCCCATTCAAAGTTTGAAAATTCAATCAGTTGCTATAGCGCCCCCCTTTGGCCAATTGATGTTCATTCACATCCTCCCATGACCCTCTAACACTGTGCCAAATTTCACATGGATTGACCAAGTCAGTGAGGAGAAAAACATGGAACAGACACACAGACAGAGTTTTTGTCAATATATAATAAGATAGGTGTAAATAAGCATTCAAGGTGGCTGCTATGCAGTAGGCTATTTATGATTATTTGGTACTTTGAATTTACAGCGTTTAAGGTAAAAGCAAACAAATTTGACCACGCACTGTTAAATTCTGTGTTTTCCTCTGAGAGTTTTACCGATTTGAAATCCATTGCTAGCCTAGCTAGGAAAGCTCAAGACTAGCCACCACTGTTAAAGTTTGGCAAAATTCAGAGGAAAAAGTGCATCATAGACGTTTGACGCACATTTTAGTTGATGAAATCTTAAAAAATTATTTAGTGCATTTCATTTGTATAGAAGTTCTTGGATATATAAAATCAGATTGTTGACCACCCAGTTGAGCTAACGTTAGTTAGCAGCTTAGATAGACAAAACATAAATGTTTAAACTTCTGTTAACATGAAGTTGCCACACATTTTTACCTTGGTTCATTTCATTTCACTGAAACCATGAGCACCAGAGAAGACCCTAATTCATTCAGATGTACTGACATGATAAAAAACCAAGTGGTGACTATTCGTATTTCTTTAGTCTGTGAGGGTCCACTGATCAAAAGAATCAAAAGTGTTTTTCATAAAATTAATCCAAGTTATGAAAATTGTTTTAACAGGATAAAGAGGTGTTGTGTTGGTATGCCAGGTGCCTTGAAACAAGTGTCTTAATGTAATACATAATTGTTTTTGTTAATTATGTTTTTCAAAGCCTAAGTTTTATACAAGTAATGTTAATACTGGTTCAAATAAATCATTTGATCATATTCCCACCTTGTGTAAAAGGAACTGAAGGCCTTTCCCAAACATAAGCCTGTTGAGTTCAGTGATTTAAGCGAACAGTAGCCTGGGCCACTAATTGGAGTTTTATGGTAATCAGAGTATGTATGGCTGCGTGTAAAAGTAAATATAAATAGAATATTCATTTTCATTTGTCATGTAAAAGCTTTTTTTTGGAATAAGGGCAAAAACTGGAACATTTTGTGCATGTTAAAGTCACAGATTAGTCCTTTTTAGTGTTTTTCATTGTGTTTTCAAATGAGATTTTGTTTTTGGCCACAAGGGGGCAGTAGAGGTAGTAGCAGTAGTTGCAGTAGTAGAGTTAGCAGAATTTTTATTAGTAGTAGGGGTGTGGGGGAAAAAATCGATACAGCTTAGTATCGCAATATTTTTGTGTGGCAATATCATTTCATCACACAGTGCCAAGTATCAATTTTTTATTATCTAAATTATTAATATGACAAATACAAATTAAACTTCTACCCTCCTAGAATAATGTCTTCACATGCTTTTTCAGTCCGCTAGATCAGTGGTTTTCAAACTTTTTGCGGTGCACACCAACGGGCGAGCCAGAATCTCAAGGCACTACTGTATTTATATCTGTGCACCATAGCCTCTGTAACGTGTGTTATCACGCTTACTACGACATAAATGTTTGTTTTTATTTACTAACAAATAACAATTGACAACCATTAGTCATTAAATATGTATTGAGAAAATGATTCAAGGATTAATTTTAAACTTTTTAAAATTCCATCTAAGCACCAATAACGCATCGATTTAAATGTGAGATAATGTGATGTTTGACAAACAGCGACAAATAGGTTTCACTGAAGATTTTTTTAAATTAAATTACATTTTTTAGCTAGAGTTGGCCTCTTTATTAGGAAATGGGTGTGCACAACATACTGATGCAGTCACTCAAGAAATCCAGGTCCAGTTGAATATTGCAATAATAATGTGTGGTTATCACAAAATCCCACGACACATCTGAATTCTGAGAACCACTGAGCTCGATACATTTTGCTGCCAAAAATAAAATGGTTTAAGTGAGATGACCAGACTGAAAACTTTATCTTGTTAGAGAAAACAGATATTGACAAAGTTTTCCTTTGGGGACAGAATTTACAGTTGAAAAAAATCGCAATATATCACAATATATTTTATTGCAACGTATAGCATATGGCAACATGGTAGGTAGGCAGGTAGGAGTGGTAGAGGCATTATTAGTACTTTGTATCTTTGCAGTAGTATTGATAATAGTATTCAGAGCAGCACTGGAAGAAGTAGTAGTGGGAAAAGGAGGAGCAGAAGTAGAAGTACTACTAGGACTTGCAGTAGGAGAAGTAGTAGTGTGAACAGTAGGAGTAGTAGTTGTTTTAGTAGCCCTAAATGCGGCTGCAGGAGTGTGTGAAGAAGCCGTAGTACACGCCAACCTGGTCTCACAGAAATACATAAAATGACCATGACCCCTTAAGGTGCCGTACACGTGCTGCGATTTTTGAACCCTCATATTCATTGTTTTCAATGTAAGGACATCACAGAGTGTAACCGCTGCGCAGGAGCAGAACAGAATTCAACTTTTGGAGCACAACAGCACACACCACATGTCACATGACAAGGAACAACTAATTACAGCCAGCAGATATTTTTCTCTTCTTCTGTAAATATCAGTGTGTGATAAATATGAAGGGTAAGTTAATCATTTTAGTGCAGAGCTGCCAGAGCTTTACTTCTGTCCCATGGACATTATTGTAGGCCTGGAAGAAGATCAGCTCTGTGCTCTGGAGTTCACGTAAGTAGGCTATGATATGGTGCTGGTTATGGTCGCTTAGCAACCTGCCTGACACAACCTGCCTCTGGCTCTTGAATGTTGGCACAGATAGGGCTTTCACACCGGCAGGGCACCGCCACGGTTCTGGTTCCCGAACCCAATTTTGAACCGGCGGGCACATTCAGACTGAAAAAAATAATTGGTTAGGAACCTGAAAAGTCGGTTCCCAACAGAACCAAAAATTAGTTGGTTTTTCCTTGCAAACCATGACATCATAAGTGGGCGTGTGACATTCTAGGCTGTGAAGACCATAGATATCTATAAAAACACGAGCATATACTTTTTACATACCGTTCGCCTTATATGTAATCATCTCCTACGTCTTCTCATCATCAACAGTTGGTGCATGCTGGATTGTTGGATGAAAACAAATATCTGGAGTAACAAAGTGAAAGCTTGCAGATAATCCATGCGATCTGTCATTTTGCCGGCTGCTGTTTCCGCTTGCCGTTATTATGTTTACTTCCGCCTGAGTGATGCGGAGTAACGTCCTCCCACTTTGGTTCCGCTTAAACTGGTGTGGACACGGGCTGGTTCGCCAGACAGCACCAAGGTTCTGAGACTCCAGAACGGAGCCAGAGCCGGAACCAGAACCGTGCCAGTGCCCTGCCGGTGTGAAACCGCTAAGAGTGGTCACAAGAGTAGCACCCAGTGCCCAACCTTGTGTTTTCCACGCAGTTAAAGACGTGGCTTGTGTACGGCCTCTAAAACCACATTACATGGCAACACCACCAAAAAAAATGCTAAAGTCAGTTGGGATCCTTTTTTTGTCTGACACATGCATTCTCTTGTTTAGCAACATCACCCCGTGTGTGGTCATTAATGTTACGACTCTACAGGTAGTATAAAGAGAAGACAGTCTGTAGGGAGGAGGCTGAGGAGGTCAAACAAACGCAGGACTTTCACATAGCTGTTCATGTCTCATGTGAACTAAAAGTAAGCACTGACTTATTTTAACTTTATGTACTTATGTCCTTTACGTTGCTCCCAGAAGATCTTATCAGCTCTTCATGTCGACCCCCACAGGGGTTTATGAAGTACTAGTCTGAGTGGGCGGAAGTTCGCTGCATAGATCAGCCTCTCATTGGGTGGAATGAGCCACCCACTGAAGTCCCGCCCTACCACCTCCGGTTGTGTAGCAGTTTTCAACACGTCCTTTACTAACTTTTGCGGTGTTTGATCTTGCGGGGATGTAGCCATTTTTCTGCCATGGTCTGCATCCTGTAGGCGATATTTTTGTGGGCGTGTTACACCAAAACCTGTTTCCCCCCGGCAATATTTTTGCAAGTGCACTGTTGCTGTGGCACCGCCCAGAACAATTTTGATTGGTTGAAAGAAATACAAGCAGCCGGAGCGTTATTTTCCTCCAATCTCAAAGTGAGAGTCGGCCCAGACAGACCTTTCTTTTCTTGAGAAAGGTCTGGTGAACGAGACTAATGAAGTACTTACGTCCTGTGCACAAGGATTGTTGATATTTTAACCAAAAATGTGATATTTTTGCAAACTTAACCAAGTAGTTTTGGCAACTAACTGTGCTGCCACCATGTAATGCACTGTTCAGAGGTCAAGGTCATTTCATGTGTTTCTGTGTGATCACACTGTACATACTAAAGTAGTATGAGAAGCAGCAGACATAGTAACATGTGGTAATGATTATCCAAAGCTGTTATTTTTAAGACTTTTCTCTAATCTTTTAGTAATTAGTGAAATATTGGAGAGTTATCTCTTCAGACTGCAAACAGTTATTTAAATAAACTGTCTTGTTTGTTTTAATTTGTCAACCTAAGCAGAGCCTTTTTCCTAAACTGGACACGTTTACATCAGACTGATGGTAGTTATGAAGTATCACCATCACAAACTAAATTAGTTAAATTAGTAATGAAGATTGAAATCTAAAAGCTGACTGATGATAAGCGGCAATGTGTTGAACCTCTAGTTGGGTGTGAGCTCTGTGTGAGTCATCCTCTGGTCTTCCTGCATGCAGTGTGAGCCTCAGCTGAGAGTCTGTTAGTGATTTCATTGAGTGAAGAGTTAGTTGGCTTTGGGTACGGACCTTCACATACCTGGGAAGGCTACCGAGGCCACAGCGGCAGCAGTGGCACAGCCGGCGTCGGCAGCGCCCTCTGTCTGTAGACCGAGCGTCTGCAAGGTGTGTTCGGCTGCGTGGACTTTAGCTTCTTCTACAGCCGCACACAGCTTAGAAGGTGTGAAGGGATGGCTGCAGAGAGAGAGAGGAGGAGATTGTTTCTTTTGTCTGTGGTAAGTTTATATATAACGACGTGATGGGATGAACAACGTGGGAGAATCACCGTAAACAGCTGCTTCAACTGAAACACTGCCAGAAAAAATGTTAGCATTTTACATTTCTGTTAACCACGGATACATTACATCTGTCAACAATGCTTTGGTGAACGTCTGGGTAAATTTAGGCGCAAAAATCACTTGGTCATTGATAGGAAGAAATGGGTTTTGACTTGCAGTAGCAGTAATAGCAGCAGAATCGAGGTAGTAATAGTAGGAGCAGTTTTCTTACACGTTGGGGTACTGTGTAGCCAGAGCTGGTATAGTGATCTTGGAGAGAAAGAGCTGTCTCTGGTCAGGACCGATGGCAGTGTGGAGCTGATAGACGGGCTGACCCCAGTTATTCTTCTGACACAGCTCCTCTAGAACCTGACATACAGACAGATAGATATGTTGAGTATGAATGTTTATAATGGAGCAAGACATTCAGTTGGTATTCAGTCTCTCAGGTTCACACTTTAAACTTGGGGTGCTTTCACACCTGCTGCTAAGTGCGGTTCGTTCAGGCAGGTGTGAACACAGCAATCACACTCAGGTGCAAATCAAAACAACCAGACTGAAACCACCTCTGAGAAGTTCTCGGTCTGGTTCCAAACAAACTCTGGTGCGGTTGGTTTGTGGTGAGAAGGTGTTGCAACCTGGATGTGAACCAACTGCAGTCACATGACACATTGTTTGGGTTAAACATGAGCATGTTACAGTCCTGGAGGATTATTAATGTGCACCTCCTCCTGTACTGCCTTAATATGCACATTCAGCACATCCAATGCATCAAAACATTGTTTTCTAGTTGGAGCAGCGCCTCGTTTTCAAACTGTATGGTTTGACTAAAATGAACAATGACAGCAATATAGTCCACGATGAGCAGCGCTAAAATCAACCTGCGTAGTTGTCCCTCCATTGTGACATTAGAAAGTGTCACATTTATCTTGCAAGTGTACTCTTCTTCAAAGTTTGCTTTACTTCCTGGACTTTTCCCACATGGGAATTCTGACCAATCAAGAGCAGCTTTCTCACACAAGGCATTTGATCTGGTCCTCTTGTAAATGCTGCCGTGAGAACACAAACCAACTCTAGGCAATTATACAACTTTGGAACAACATGCGTCCCTGATTCAGACCAAAGGAGACGACTCTAGGGCTGAAAGCACCCTGAGATGATTCCGGGGTTTGTTTTTTTTTACATCTTGGATCTCAGTTTTCAAGCAAATTGCTGAAAAGATTTCTTACAGGTCAAGAAAGATAAATCTTCCCAGCATGATCATCTAATTGTTGAGGTTTCTTGAGTCTGCCTCACTACTTTTTAATGATATCACCACGTTTCCATCATCCTGCACTAATCTGCTTGTAGGGAGGGTCTCAACTGGTCAAATACCCAGATTCATTAACTCTGCAGCCAGTGAACCCCTCAAGTCCTACATTCACCATCTCTCCTAGACCATCTCTTCAGCCTCCTTCTGACACTACAGTTACTTGCAAAGAAAAAGAAACCTGACCTCTAAACAGGAGCAAAGTCAGAGACACAGTTCAGCACCTTCACGTGAACCCTCCAGAGTGGGGAGATACTTCATCAAAGTTAAAGGAACAAATGCGAAATATTGTATCTGCCAGAAGAAAGACACAAAGAACACCAAGTCCCTTTCTTACATACTGATCTAAGTAATGACTTATTCTTGATAACGACCTCAGCCTGCTGCTGCTGTTACACCAGATTCTGTGACCTGCAGCAAAGAAACAACCATTTCACTCTCAGCTGACGTTCAGCTAACGTTCAAGTTAGACACACATCTGAAACACATTGTAACACATGGTTAATGTTGTGAAACAGTTGTGTTTTTGTTTCGGCAATAAAACTTAGTTAGGTTTGTTTGTTAGTTATGTGAGTGACATCAGTGCGTGATGACCATACATATATTGCGTGACTTTTGGTTTCACGCGGACATGAACACTGGTCTCCTGCGTAAAGTCCAATTTGGTTTGACCTGATCCAACAGGTTCTCATCCCAACTAGTAAAATACTGTCGCCTTTCAGTGGACTTTCTCATCTAAGTATGATGTGCTAGGTACCCTTCTGGGATGGAGTGTCGGTTGACGCTTGTTACATGCATTGTGTCTCTCCAAAATACACAAACGTACAAAATAAGTGTTCACAGATAATGTACAGTTTCTGTATGTTTAATGCATACAGTCTCTTTCAAAATACACTTACATAGGTAAAACATCCATAAACCATCTATTTTCAAGATATTCCAGACGTCCCTCTCCCCAGCGGCACTTTACAGCTTCTCCTGGGGGACCCCGAGGTGTTCCTAGGCCTAACAAGATATGTAATCCCTCCAGTGTGTTCTGGGTCTGCCCAGGGGCCTCCTACCAGTTGAACGTGCCCAGAACACATCTAACGGCAGGTGCCCAGGAGGATCCTGATCAGATGCCCAGACCGCCTCAACTGCCCCCTTTCAACACGAAGGAGCACCAGCTTTACTCTGAGCTCCCTCTGGATGTCCGAGCTCCTCATCCTATCTCTAAGGCTGGGCCCAGCCACCCTTCAGAGTAGACTAATTTTGGTCGCTTGTATCCAAGACCTCATGTTTTCGGTCACTACCCAGAGCTCATGACCATAGGTGAGGGCTGGGACATAGATGAACCAGGTAAAACACCTTAAGTCAAGTTTATTTTCTTGTGCAACAAAAGCATGTGGTTATGTTTTGAAAAAAAAAAAAAAACATCATGGTTTGGTTCAGCATTCACACAGTGAAAGTCCTGGGTTTGTTGGACCCATCCACCGCCACTCACACCCACCCTATAGGGACGTTTTTTGTCTTGACACCTCAGTCAATGGCAGTATTTGACAAGTTGGGAATGATTACTGGCTTCCCTTCCACCTCCTCTCTCTTCCACCCTACGTGGATTTTCTCGCTCTTCATACTGGGTCAGTTAGTTGAAAGCCTAATGCGTCTCATAAAGATGCTAAACGGTGCTTTGGTGTTTATAACACATGGCAAGGAGAATGACAAAGCGTCAGTATGTGACAACCTGGGTATGAAAACGAGCTGATAGTAGTGCCCAGAAGATACCTTGGGGGACACTGGGCTTATCTTTTCTCACAGAAACCATGTCGTCTGGATGGACAAACTGTCAAGACCCTTTCAGTGTCCTTGTTTCTGTCCTGGGGTCTCATTTACAAACATTGTGTACACAAAAAACTTGGTCTGAAAGAGGTGCGCACCACTTCCCACGGAAAAGTTGTGATGTATAAAAACAGACTTGATGGGAAAAACTTTGACCCATGCTTACGAACATTTTAGAGATGGGAAGTACAAAGTTATCATTGATGGAAATGGTGGAGAAAATGACCAAAATAAAACCAATGTTTTGTCCACTAATCTTAAAAAGTTGTCGTGGTTCTCAGGTGTGTTCTGTTACCTGTGTTGCAGGTTTGATGGCGGCGGCCTTCAGGCTCATGGCAGCAGGGTTCATGGGGGTCAGCTCCATTCCTGGTAGCAGGTCGTACAGCTTCTCCTCTGCCTGCTTGTCCGCCTTCAGGCCATAAGAGGCTCCGCCGGCAGCAGCGCCAGCTCCACCCACGGCTCCAACCCCGGCGGAGTAGGCCAGGTATCCCCGCCCGCCCAGCCCCCGCACCCCGGCAGCCCCTACAGGTACAGTCATGTAAATTTCTACAGGAGACCGAAAAGGCAGTGAAATCAATCAAATCACCGGAAATCAACCGGGAAGAAGAATCACACAGTTAGACAATTATTCAGTCAGAGTGAATAGGTAACAGTGGTAGCCATGGTAACGGTACTCCACCTTACATCTTCCCAGTGTTAGCGCTACAGCGGTAGTCATGGTAACAGTCCACCTGTCTCCTTTAATTCACTGAGGATTATTTCTCTGGATGATTCATTTTCCACCTTCACACCGTTCTTATTCTGATTTCATTAAAGATAAAGTTTCACTTTTGATTCAGTGAATCAGCAACAATAGTCAGGCATTGAAATAATTGGCCTTGGATCATAAAGACTGGTGACCTGACCCCAAGAGTGGGCCCTTGATTAATTCAGACAGAAGCAGTTCGATCAGTTCACCAACAGAAATCTATTTGATCATGTAGAAATATTCACGCTGTCCTATGAAAACCCTCTAACTTCAGCTGTGTAGCTGTTCTTTTGACTTAAACTGGAATTTTAATATCAAACACGATGTGCAAGGTGAGCGCAGACTCGCACAGAAGCAAAAGGTTAGGTTTTATTTATCTTTTTTTTACATTAGATCAGAAGACCATCTGTGGGTTATTTTAGAAGAAGGGGTCATGAATCGCTAACATGAGACACTGCTCAGTCACCAGAAGAAAATGATGGCATTGTTTCTGCAAACCTTGGATACATTACATTTGTATATTTCATATGTATCATATCAGCGTTTCTAAAGTGATGCGGTATATGAGCTGGCTTTGTTGGTCTTGAGCAGTGGACTGCAGCTTGGCAGCCATCTTGCCTTGGTGTCAAACAACAAAATGGATTGATTTTTAACAAGTCATTACTGTTTTTCTAACGGATTCTTCAGCCCCCAGACATGGATGTTTTCTAGCAGCTTTTTAGCCCCCAGACGTGGGTGTTTTTGGTGACCTGTTAGTGTTTTACCAGTGGCCATAGTGACATTAAAAGCATTTGTTTTTTACCCAGGCACTGCTGCATTTCCTGTCAGGACTGTGCCCCCAAAACTGAGTATTTAAAGGGATAGTGCACCCAGAAATGAAAATTGACGTTTGAATCTGGGGTGCCGTCAGCCTCCATTAGGTGGAGTTGTGTTGCTACCTCCTCTCCCCTTGCATCTCCGCAAGGGATGTGAGGACTCTAAAACTTCACCTGAGCCTCTCTCGGCATATGGGTGAGTAGATAATGGCTGAATTTTCAATTTTGGGTGCACTATCCCTTTAAAGCCAAAACATGATATTTTCCTAACAATAACCAAGTGTCTTTTGGGTCCAAACCTAAGCACGCATTAACCACAGTATTGTTGACATGTAAAGTTTTTGACATATCCACTACAAACGTCTTGTATCTGTGGTTTGCATAAACGTACAATGCCCACATGTATTCTGGAGATTAGGTTGTGACACACGTTGCCCCACTGGCTTTTTAAACGTGGGTGATTTTGGGTGCTGTTCTGAAACCACTGAAGCATTACTTCTACTCTGTTTGTGAATGTGAGCTCACCTCGTAACATTAATATTAACACACAGCCACTGGACACAGTTCACAATCAGTTTCTACTGTTTAAGATTGGGATGTAAGCAAAGTGCGTCCATCCTCACCTCTCACAGACGGCGTCCTGATCAGACCTCGACCTCCAACGTGAGCTTTAGCCGCCGGGAAGCGGAACTGACCTGGTATAGCAGCGTAGGCCTGGGGGGCATAAAACACGGGTGGGCCAAGGTACGCCGCTGAGGGGTCATACACCTGGAGGAGGAAGAAGAGGAATAAGAGGAGGTAAGAAACTTTTTATAATTATTAAAAAAAAATCTTTAATATGAATCATTTCTAAGAGGTAAATATTAATAATTTGGAGCATGAGTCAGATAAATGTCGACATCTAGTGGTATCATTAGGTCAAAGTTTTTAATTATTCACTGCAGTATCTCAACATTTACTTGATGGATCGAGTCCTACCGTCTCTGGTGTTTCTCTGACTATGTCTGTAGTACTACCATGAACTTTACATTTGTTGTTGTGAGTGAAGTATTTCAAAGAGTATTGCATGGATTGTGATGAAATGTGGTTCAGACATTTGTTCCAAACATTGAACCAATCAGGACTTCAACTGGAAGTCCGTGGATAAAACAGGAAATCGAACAAACCCAGAAATATGCCTCAGAAGGTCAACAGGTTTGAGCTTGTTTGCTTTTTGATTTCTCATTAATGTGTTTTGTTGTTAGTGTTTGTTTCTTTTTGAGGTTTTATCCCTTAAATTAATGAATAAATGAATAGTTTTTGTGGGCTCCTGAGCTTCAGTTACTATCCTCTGCTTCTTCATAGTCTAGTGATTTGTATTGTCCACTAGATGGAGCTGTTTACCACAATGACATCATCTCTTCATCCAACTAAACATCATAACAACTGTAAACCAATATGTCATTGTGGATGTTAGACCTTCAGGCTGCAGCAGCTCAGCTGATTTAACAATAACATTTTAAATATGTAATTAAAATTAAAATTAACAACAAATAAAAGCTGCATTACAACCTGATAAACACAGAGAACAAGTTCAACTGATAAAAGAGGAACAATAAATCAAAAGTATCAGTCAGATCGGAGCCCATATACACCACCTAAATTATTTGGTCTTGTATGCACCCTAAAACTTTGACCTTAAAACATTCACAGAGTAAAGAATCGTCGCCTTCCTGTTCGTCACTTTGATCATCAAACATTATGGTTACAGGGAGCCCGGTCTCACTCTGAAGTCATTGAAATGAATGGACATGTGATGAGGTCATAGTGAGGATGTGTTGTTCCAGGACAACTCTAAATGATTCCTTTAAATCTCAGTTGATGTTTCCTCCACCTGAACAAACACTGTGGTGATACTTTGATATTTTGTTTTCAGGGTCGTACCTGTCCCAGAGTGTAGGCAGCGTAGTCGGTCTGCAGCAGAGATCCTCCCCGTCCTCCGGTCCCTCTGGTGTAACGGACATAACTGTCCTTGTCCACCGGCTTGGCCAGAGTCACCTCGATAGGAGAGCCGTCCACCACCTGGAGGGACGAGGACATAAAGACTCTTTAAAAATGTGTTTTGTACATGTCATCAGTGGTGGAGGAAGTATTCCGATTATAATATTAAGTACTAATACTGTGAAAATACTCCACTGCAAGTAAAATCTCTGCAGCATGTGACCTCTTGCTGACCTTTCCGTTGAGGGCTTTCATGGCGTTGATGGCGTCTTCTCTCTGACTGAAATGGACAAAAGCGTAGTCTCTGATCTTCTTCACTCGCTCCACTGCACCTGTAACATTTGTTTCTTTTTTTAAAATCAAATTTTAATTTTTATCCATTCTTCTGTAGCAACCAAGAATCATTCTGTTAATATCTACTGCTCAGTTTTTGTTTTTTTTCATAAATATCTAACAGTATAATCAGCCCAGTCACCAGATGAAAATATTGGACATATCTGCAAACCATGGGTAAGTTATATGTGTAACTTTCATACCAATCATGTCAACATTTCTAAAGTGCTGTAGTATATGAACTGATTTTGTCTTTTTTTTTTAAAGCAAAATGATATATTATGATATATTATGATGATTATGATATATGATATTTTCTGAAACATAACCAAGTGTTTTTTGTGCCTAAACCTAACCACACGTTAATCACAGTGTTGCTGAAATGTAAAGAAGCGTAAAGTTTCAACACATCTGTGACATAATAACATACCAATGTCACATATCCGTGGTTTTCAGAAATGTAAATTGCAAACATTTTTTTCTGGCTGAGGGGGTTGGCATAAAACCAGATAAAACACTTTGTTATCAAACTTATCAACTAATAAATACATGATACAACATAAATGATAAGAAACAGAAGAGTTCAGCAAATGAGCTGATAAAAAAATACATGTATAAAAGTGAAGAAAATAAATAATTGGATATGTATTTAATAGGATTACAAGTTATTTAAAAAAAAAATGTTCAAAACACAGTGGGCTCTTAATAATGTTTGTATATCTCAGGATATCTGAAGGAATACTGCTCATGTAAAGAAGATGAAGATGGTCAACCCGAGAATACATTTGAGATTTTAATTTGAAGAAGATGCTAAAAGATGATGGAGAGATAGTGTCACAAACAAATATTTATATATAAACACATACCTAATATTCACGTATAACACTTACAGAGTGTGAACATTTCTAGACAGAACAAATGTCTGCTGAGAGTCTTGCAAATCTTTTTCCTTCCTGCAGTACATGTATTTTATGGAAATGGATGTAGTGTGTATTAGCCAAAACAATATTACCATAAAGAATACAGAGCTAATCATCCACAAAAACTTTTCAGTTTTGTTACAAACAAGATTCACATGTTATCCAGTTTAAATCCTCATCATCTTAAATGCCTAAAAAGAAACAAGAATTAATCTAATAATTAAAATAAAATAATTCATATTCCATCCACAGACAAATCAGCGTAACACCTATAAAACCATTCTGCCACATCCTGCTGATGTTGTGAAAGTTTATTGAGTTGAAACCATCTAGCAAATCCCATAATTTCCCATAAAAAGATTTACAAACTGATGAACAATAGAAATAATAAGGGTCCTAAAATGGATCCCTGTGGTACACCACATGTTGTGTTAAATGTGTTTGAAGCCCCCAAATTTACTATCACATATAACTCTCTCAATACCTTTAGGTTTCTTTACTTTACATCCCAAAGTCATAGAATAGATTAGATCTTTATTGACCACCATGGGTGGAAATTTGTCCTCAGCTCACCGAACACAGAAGACAACACAGTAAAAAGCAGACAAACAGTCAGTTAAAGGGCCAGTGTGTAAAATGGGTTGAAAACAGTGACATCAGTGGTCAAATTCTAGAGTGCAGGGCTCACTCGCTCACCCCTCCCGTTGGGTAAATGATTGTGGCCTCGTAGGGACAAAAAGCCTTGCGCACGAGTTTTTCAGGAGTAGGTCTATCTAGCGACGAGGTGAATGTTTATTTAGAAATCTAAACCATGTTATGATATTGTAATGAATCCCTCACGAGCAGGAGACCAGAGGATCGTTCGGGAAAAAGGCCCGTTTATTTGAGCACTCCAAAAACTCCGGTAACACTCCAGGGGGTAAAAGACTCGTCCCAAACTCTGACTCTTCTGGCGTAACACACACACTTCATACACATATACTCGTTTACAATACCGAGTGGGGACCCCCCTCCCCTCTCTGCTCCGCCAATCTCCAACCCGCACACTGACTGACAGCGTAGCCGGTAAACAGAGCTCAGCTGTTTATTTAGCCTAGCAATATCTCCGGACTATAGTAGCTGCAATGGACGACTTTGAACGCGATTTTGAAGAGTTTCTTGTAGCGGACACAGACCCAGAGCCATACCTGTTTGAGCCGGAGCATACAGATGAGGAACTCCATGTGTTTGATGCTGAGCGGGTGAGAAGAGAGGCTGAATGCACAGAATAGGATTCGGTGCTACTGCTACCATCGTTGGGGAGCTATATCATCAGGAGGAAAAGCGCCACAGAGAGTGCATCACAAGGAGTGAAGCTGCGTCTTCTTTTCCTCGCAGAGGTTCGGGTTCATTCTCTCCTGTTGTGTGGTAAGTGTGGTCCATTCGCAAACTTTATAACTAAAACAACTTTTCACTACTCTCTATCAACGAACTACTAACACTCTCTGCTGTTTCCTCCTCCTTCTTCCTTCCTTCCGCTGTCTTAGTTGGTTCATTTATACACGCGAAAAGCGTTCTCTGGCTGGCTGGATTGTCCGCTTGGGCTGCCTTACATACATGGCGGCGCAAGATGGCGACCTCTCTAAAGCAAGGCCCTTGCTATATATATATAAAAGCATAATTATAAGGCTACGAAAACCAAACGAATTTCATTTTATAGCGATTATACACTTGTATAAACATATTAATGGGTAGAATATTCAGATTCAGATTCAGATTTGACAATAAACCATGCCAAATATTACACACTGGCCCTTTAAACGAACACACAAAGTCATTACAAAACACTTAAACACATTAGATCAGCTCATTGTCTGTCTGTGGTTTAAAACTGTCATGTTATCAAGTTAAGGATATTGATTGAACTTGGGACGAAGGACTTCTTAAAAACATTTTTAGTTGCCAGAGGGACTCTGTAGCGCCTCCCAGAGCTCAAGAGCTCAAACTGGCTAAAGAGAGGACGGGAGCTATCTGCCAAGATACTCCTCGCTTTCTCCCTCGCCCTTCCTGTAAAGAGTTGGGTCAGGGGCTTTATTGTCTTGCCAACTATTTTACTTCCCATTGTCACAATCCTAGAAAGTTTTTTCTTGAAGTACAGTTAAGGTGACCTTACCAGGCAGCGAGATAAAAAGTTAAAACACTCTGAACCATAGTTTGGTACACTAATTCTAAAATTGTACACTGAGTTTCATCAGATCTCTTTAATACAAAGTAACATTATCTATGGCATCATTCCTGTTGCATTCAAGGACACTCCGACATCTGACTGTTGAGAGTTGGCTGCTGGCTTGTGTTGTGTTTTAATACCTGGTCTGAGGCTGTTAAATTCCTTCTCAATGGTCTCCTCGGTGGTCTGCAGCATCAGGTTCCTGACATACAATATTTTGACGGTTGCCATGGTATCTTCGTCCACCTCCACCTCAGGCTCTGCCCAGTCCACCGCGATGGTGTGACCCCATAGCTGGATACGGCCTGAGAGAGATGACAGGTAGGTTTCATTTTAATGTCTTGAATTGTCTTTACTTGATGTTGCCTTCAAGTTACACTTGAAATAAAAATAAAGAGGAAGCTATTACACATAAATTAGCCACAGCTCCCTCTGATAAAACATTAGTTCACTAACTCTGTTAATCTACTAACTAACTATATATAATGATAGATTGATTGTTAGATAAACCAGGAAAAGACAACATATTATGATTTCCAAAATCTAGGCCAGTATCTACTCTCACATCATGATATCAATATAATATCCATATATTTCCCACCCTTAGTGTTACACAAATCACCTTCCTGTACAGAACCCATAAAACTGTTTTTCTATCTTATCGCTTAAGCTTTAAGGAGAGGCAATTCTTCTTTATCAGACACTTTAACAATTGATTTGTCCATAAAATGTTTCCTAACCCACAAAGTGAAAACACACAATGACTGTTGAGCGCTTCAGGCAACAATCACACTGGAACCAGCAGGAATCACAGAGGTTTAAACAGGTTTATTTCTGATAGCTGTGATCACTCCCATCAGAAAGGGTTTATCTCTTCATCCCACCCATCAGAACTCTCGTCCCATTGGACACTGACCCAGTGACACAGGCTGTGATTGGATGGTGATAACACACTCAGTCAGACTTTGACATTTTTTATTGTGTTGTGTTTACTTTTATGAGGTGTTTGACACTTATTGAGGTAATGTTGGTACTTTTGCAGCTTTAAAATGACTTCTCAGCAAAATCATTACAGCTGTATGTCTTTAAAGCACCACAGGAAACAGAGTTTACTGCAATAATCATAGAAACTTGAAAGTTGTTGCAGAAGGGTATACAAGGATGTAGTTGAGAATTGGAAGTTTTAAAAACTCTTCCTGTTGACACATTTAGAGGTGGTCCAATATTTGAGATTTATTTGAAATCACATTAAGTCCAGCCTGAGATATGTCAACAACTGCTGGATGTGGATCATCATTCATGTTCTCCTCATGTAATACTTTGGTTCATGACCAATTACCTGGAGATCTATTAACATTCCCCGAGCCAATCACCAGGAAAAACTGTCGGCATTATACATTTCTGCAAACCAGGGATACGTTTCCTTAGTATGTTATTATTTAGCGGATACGTTAAAACGTTTAGGCACAAAACCCACTTCGTTATGGTGAGGAAAAAATCATGTTTTGTCTTAAAAAACCGGACTTGGGTGGCACAACCCCCCGCTGGAAAAGCAGTGATGTCTTAATAAAACAGGACAACTTTTTGTGGCATTATTATCCCCACTGGGAAAACAAAAAACACCCATGCTTGGTCGCTAAAAAAACGCTGGAAATACAACATTGAGCCAATAAAAAAACAACTGGTTTGGCTGTTTGTTGGTCTCATACAGCAGTCTGCAGTGGTCTGGAGCTGGGAAGGTGTCTTGTCTAGGTATCACGCCACCCACCATACTGTCAACTTCCAGATGACAAAGTCAGCTCTTTAGAAACATTGATATGATACGTATGAAACATACAAATGTAACGTATTCATGGTGTGCAGATATGTACAATGCCAACATTTGCTTCGAGCGCCTAAACTGCATTTCCATCAGCTTCAGCTGTACTTTGCTTTCACTGATAATTAGCTAATCTTAGCGTGCTAACACAGTGAACATTATACCTGCTAAAGGTTGTATTCTAGCACTGTCATTGTGAGTATGTTAGCATTATTTATTTATTTATTTAACCTTTATTTAATCAGGAAGTCCCAAGCAAACACAAAACAAGCACGTCTCTATCACCACATTCTTTAAATTGCCCTTAAATTCATCAGTGGACATCAGTGTTTCTAAAGTAGCTCTTTTTGAAGATTGTTCCATGTCCATGGTGCAGCGTAGGAAATTGCAGTTTTCCCCAGAACTGTTAAGACCCAGGGTTCATTTAAACCACTTGGAGGAGCGTAGCTGGTAGGAGCGTAGCTGGAAACTACCCAAGCTGACTCACAGAAAGGTGCAAAGGTCGGCTGGAAGTTTGCCCAGTATTGCTTTACAGATAAAAATATACCAGTGCTGTTGCCTGCGAATGGTCAGTGATGTCCAACCCACCAAATCATAAAGAATACAATGATGAGTAAGGGACTTTGTATTTGTAATGAAATATAGAGAGGCATGGTATACTGAATCAAAGCATAGTAAAATGAAGGAGGTTGCAGGCATATACAATATGTCACCGTAATTAATCTCAGACAGAAAAGTAGCTTGCACAGGATTTTTCTTAGCACTGAAATAACACAAGATTTATTCATAAAATAAAACCCAATCTTCACTTTAAGCTTCCAAACAAGAGCAGCAATATGTACATTAAATGAAAGCTTGTCATCTCTCCATATACCCAGGTACTTGTATGAGGGCACACTTTCAATGGATTTACCATCAGAAGTGAAGAAGTCATCAAGCAACTGTGAGCGAGCATTTGAGAAGATCATGAACTTTGTTTTCTGAGCATTTAAAATCAAGTTTAAAGTCAGCAGAGCAGTTTGTAACGACTGAAATTTAGTCTGAAGCTCTTGTATTGAATGCATTATGGAGGACGCATGCATGTAAATCATGGTGTCATCTGCATATAAATGTATTTTGGTTTGAATGTCTTCACCCAAATCATTTATAAATGTAGAAAACAAAATAGACCCCGAGATGGAGCCCCGGGGGACACCTTTGGTTATCTCAAGAAATTCCAATTTATGGCGTTCTGCATAAACACACTGATAACAATCTGTTAAATAATTCTGGAACCAGTGTACAGCCTTAGAACAGAAACCAGCATGCCTTAGCTTGTTCAGAAGTTGTCTGTGGTCCATACCTGTTATTAGCATTTAGCTCAAAGCATCGCTGTGCTTGGTACAGCCTCACAGAGAGAGACTCTCAATCTGGTTAACACAAGAAATTCTCAATTTTGCATCATCCTTTTCAGAACAGCCATATGACGTTATTGTTTGTGTTCTGGGTTTGGTTTCTAACAGTTAAACCTGTCATCTGCTAAAAAGCTTTGCACTGAGTATCAGTTGTCAGGGCATCTTTGAATGCACCAACAACAAGAGTTTTTCCAAACAGGCCCTGCACCCAGCTGTGTTATTAAATTAACAAAATTTGACCCGCAAAACATAAAGTTGAATATTCAGTGTTTGATTTCTACCTGGCAGCAGTTTGCGACGGGCCATGGCAGCCGCTCGGTGGCTCTCATATTCCACAAAGGCGAAACCTCGGTTCTTGGATTTGTCGGCAGCGCTCGGGTACACAATGACGTCCACAACCCCGTCAGTGACCTTCTTCATCTCAGACAGGATCTCCTCACGCTTCTTAGTTTTTGGAATCCCACCCACAAACAGACGGCAGTTGTCAACACTGGCACAAACTCCGAGGAGGCGGCCATTTCTGCAGGATGGAGGGGGAGCGTGTGGTCAGATACCAGGTCGTAAGAACGAGGTCTTTTCTAGCATATGTCAGAACACTCAGGTGTTCGGAGGGGTTGTTGCTATGTGGTTATGGGATTGTTCTGGGTGGCTGTAAATGTATCAGCTGGCTACTAGACTTAATGTAGTGTTCAGTGAAAATGCAAACAAGCCTTGAGTGTTTGTTGTATCCAGTGTTGTTGTTGTTGTTGTTTAAAAAGAAACCAACCCTGACCTGATCTCGTAGTTGTTGAGCTGCTTCATGGCTGCTTTGGCCTCCTGTTTTGTACTGAAGGTGACGAAGGCGTAACCTCTGTTATTCCCGTTAAAGTCCATCATCATCCTCACCTCATAGATCTTACCGAACTGGAGACAGAAAGTATGAAATGCAAAAAGACGTAAGACCAACACACTTACTTGTGGGAACAAGATGTTGTACTGTAGAAACAATCATCACCTTCTCACACAGTGGAACCAGTTCGTCTTCAAACAGATCTCTCGGTAGTTTCCCCACAAAGATCTCGCTGCCTCTCTCTGGTGGCGGACCGTCCCAGCTGGGTGGTGGGCCGCCATACCGCCGTTGGCCATTCTCCTGAAATACAAACCCTCAAAATTAAAATAAATATAGCACAAAAACACACAATAACGATTGTTTAAATATACACCAAAGTCAGTTTCCTCTACCATCTGAGAATCAAGAGTTAAGGACGGTATAACAGAAACTAAATGTCTGCAAACAAAAATATACTTTACTACTTATTCAACGTGTAACATATGCAGCTCACAAACATGCAGTATGTTGTTGTAAAAGACGGAGGCGTCTTGTGTTGGATGCTCATGGAGAACAGGAAATAACAGGATCATCGACAGGAAGGTGATCCAGGCACTCGGAAAATATAGAAAAACGAGGAAGGAAGTATTAAAGAGCCTTTATTGTAGAGACTAAATCATTTAAAGAGCCAACACGTTTCAGCCACTGCAGGTCTTCATCAGGGCTTTAAAAACATACAACTCAGGTATGGCCCCACCTATATAGTGTCAGGAACCAATCAGAGGCCATCACATGACCCATATAGTGGCATGACAGGTGAAACAAAAACTAAAAAAGTAATGAAAAATGAGATGCGATACACGATAAAAAATATTTTAAATATATCCTAAAATCTTCCCTTTCAGTTTTGGTGTTCTGTTTCTAAAGTCATGTGGTGTGGTATATTTCAGAGGACCAGTGTGTAGTTAAATGCTCCTCTCTGTCTGTCCAGATGTGAACTGCCATCAGTTCTTTACCTGCTGCAGTTGGTATCCTGTGCGCTGCATGAGCGCCCGCAGCGCCGCCTCCTTCTGTGTCCCCGCCAGTCCGTCCCCGCTTGCTTTCTGATTGGATTCCATTGGGTGTGATTGACAGCGATATGTAAATCAGGGAAATTAGGGGTGCTCACTGGGAAAAGACAGCAACAAACAAAAAGTCATTTAAATTTACTGCAAAGTTGTAAATCAGAGTTTCTCGACCTTTGGTCCCTGATATGCAGAAAAGTTTTATGCAAAGTTACGTTCTGATTCAGCGTGAAACAGAAACAGAGGTGGTGTGAATACAGAGGACACAGGAAGTCAGTTGACCCTCCATCTAGTGAAGACATTTATACATCCATCAGTTCAGAACAATAAATGTCCAACTGTAACAGATTGTCCCAAAGTGTTTGGATCATATTCCTGATCTCCTGAGAATGAACCTCTGAGGATGACGGCAGCATTCACACTGGAATAAACTTTGTGCCTGTAAATGTAGTCAGTGATGTCCCTACTTTACAATAATGTCTCCACTTTATAAAATGTCCTCACTTTGCTAAATCGTCCTGACATGATCTCTGGGCTCTTGATAACATAGCGATGGTGGCCTAAAGTTCAGAGAGGCAGACCTCTGATTGGTCGTCAGTTCAGCCTTTGAGTGAGGCCCTTAACCCTTCAGTGACCAACAGATCAGACTGGTTATACTGGGCATCTTAAATGGTTATAATTGAGTGTCTGGTTGTTCTTGATTGATCTCAGTTTTATTCACAGTCACATAGAGATGAAGTAAAAACAACATTTCCCTGAGTGGTGTCCACACTGTGCTGTGTGTCCTCACAGAGCTGAACTCTGTTTTCTTGCTCTGAACAACAGATACGAGTCGTGTTTTGAAGTGAGCAGCAGAGAGGTCAAGGTCTGTTCAGTAATCATTGACAGAGACTGTGGACAGACTGCAGCCTGACTATCCGTCTCACTGTCGGACTGAGTGGAAACATACAAGGCTTCATCAGGGAATTATGGGAATTTACTAATCACACATGCATTTCTGTATTCTCAAATATGTGTCATCAAGACCCTCAGTGACACAAAAGTTCCTGTCTCATGGAGCTATCCTCGACTTAAAACCTTCAAAACAAGATTCATCTCTGAAGTGAGGACTGGACCACATGTCCTCACGTTCCCAAAAATATCCTAACTTACAACGCACCTTACAGTAGTGCACCCACTTTGTAAAAATGTCTTCACTTTTATAAAAATGTCCTTACTTCTAAAAACGTCCCCAATTTTTAAAATGACCTCAATTTCTCAAAATTTCCTCAATTTATAAAACTGTCCTCACTTCTAAAAATGTCTTCACCTTTATAAAAATGTCCTTACTTCTAAAAACGTCCCCAATTTTTAAAATGACCTCAATTTCTCAAAATTTCCTCAATTTATAAAAATGTCCTCACTTCTAAAAATGTCCTCACTTTATAAAAACGTCCCCAATTTCTAAAAATGTCCTCACTTTATAAAAATGTCCTCAATTTGTAAAATGTTCTCACTTCTAAAAACGTCCCCAATTTGTAAAATGTCCTCAATTTCTCAAAATGTCCTCACTTTATAAAAATGTCCTCAATTTGTAAAATGTTCTCACTTCTAAAAACGTCCCCAATTTGTAAAATGTCCTCAATTTCTCAAAATGTCCTCACTTTATAAAAATGTCCTCAATTTGTAAAATGTTCTCACTTCTATAAAGTCCCCATTTTGTAAAAATGCCCTCACTTCTAAAAACGTCCTCAATTTGTAAAAATGTCCTCACTTTCCAAAAGAATGTCCTCACTTCTAAAAATGTTCTAATTTGTAAAAATGTCCTCACTTTATAAAAATGTCCTCACTTCTAAAAACATCCTCAATTTGTTAAAATGTCCTCAATTTCTCAAAATGTTAGAACGTTACAGAAATGTCCTCACTTTAAAAATTGTTATTACTTAAATAGTCTCTAAAAATCAATTTGTAAAAATGTTTTCAATTTCCAACAAATGTCCTCAGTTTCTCAAAATGCCATAACTTTGATGTAAACTTTGTAAACAATTTTACATTTTTCCCATAGTTTTAATTTTGGCCTGTCTTTGTAAATTGATTTTAAAAACATCCTCAATTTGTCAAAATGTCTCCACTTTGTAAAATTGTCCTTACTTACAAAAAATTGTCCTTAATTTCTAAAAGTGTCATCAATTTACAAAATGTTCCCATCTTTGGAAATGTGTCCTCACAGTTTTCCAGAAAATCTCCTAAATTTGTAAAATAAATAAATAAATCCTCAGTTTCTAAAAATGTTCTTTTTAGAAAATGTCTTCACTTTGTATAAATATTGTCAATTTGTAAATACATCCTCAATGTCCAACAAACATCCCCATTTTCTTAAAAAGATCCTCACTTTAAAAAGATCCTCATTTTACAATTTTTTTGTTAGTTTTAAAATTGTCCTCCTTGTTAATCGTTTTTCAATTTATGAAAATATCCCCACTTTGTAAAACTGTCCTCACTGCATGAGTAATTATCAGTGAAGGTGTCTTTAAAGGTGTCTATAAACTTTATATGAAGCCTAGAAGGTGGGTTAGTTATTAAAGATTTGTCCTAATTTAATATGTTTAATATCATGTGGTTTTATTCCTGAGCAGGGAAACAGCTGATCAGCAGTTTGGAAAATATCAGAGATCTGAAACAAATCTCATGTTCAGACACATCAGTGAGACACACTGTGTCACTGTGTCATGTCCCTTCATCAACACACACACACAGACCGTCCTGCTGCCACAAATACTCACTAGAGCACTAAACAGCTAAGTGGCTACTTAAAGCTAACCCTTTGAACCTTAAAGAGAGGTTGATATAATCAGTGTAATGATAAACAGGCTGCTGCTGCATCTTCACTGCATACATTAGCATGGGGAATCACACACACACACACACACACACACACTTTCTTTCTGTTTAATTTCAAAGAGAAACTCGACAGTGAAAATGAGAGAGGAGCTCTTCACATCAGAGAGGGAGGGACAGGCGAGACACAAAAGAAAACACAGACAGAGAGAGGGGTCAAAGGTCATGAGATGATGATGATGGTGATGATGATAACAAAGCAAACACACCCCCTCTCAGTAACACAGTAAAACACACAAGTCTTAAAAGCTGAATATACATAAAGTAAAATTACTAATTGTGCAGAACGGCTCTGTCATTATTAAATATTACATTATTTAGTTTTTATCACTATTTAATGCACATGAGAGCAAATGTGGAGCCAGTTTTAGATACTTTATATACTACTGGGTAAATCAGTGGATCACACTGCATCATAACTGTTTTTTGTTATGTAAAAGAGGCTGTAGTGGTGTAGCAGTACAAAGTAGCAGGGATTACTAGAATTAAGTATAAGTATCACAACTGTACTTGAGTAGATGTAACTTTCCACCATGAAAAATTATTCAGCAGAATTGTAGAATATTTTGTGCAGCTATAAAAAAAACAGAATTCCTGCCAGCAGTTTAACAGGTTAGAAAAAGTGATTGAAGTGTTTAAATTAAAACATTAAAGCTGATGTCAGAGTTTGGCTGCTGATAAAGGAGAGACAGTTTACAGGTGAACAGGTTCGGGTGACCTGAGACTCTGCTGCACCAATCAATACTGCTGATAGAGGGGCGTGTAACACACACACACACACACACACACACACACACAGCTCAGTTGTGCCAAAACATGAGAAAAACAGAAGGCACTCACGCTGTAAACTCCAACCCGTCCATGACATAACATTTTAATGTAAAGTCCACACAGATGCCCCAGAGTGTCAAAATAACATAAAAACTTTATCTTCACTCGACACAAAAACTCATCACTGTGAGCTCGACATGTTTTTCCTATTAAGTCAACACTTTTTTAGTTTTTAGTTAAATATTATAAAGCTGATTTCACCTAATTAGTTTAAGCTCAATAAACAACAGTTTCCCTGCATGTCATGAGACAGTATGTTTAAGAAAACTGTGTTTAAATGTGTTCTAAATCACTCATGTGTCTGTATTTCACAATGGTTTTCAGTTAACGTTGTGGTGAAAGACATTTTGCACCACTAGTTCAGTCGTATACACAGTTTGTGACGTGTCTGACATTAACTCGTGCTGAGGTGAGGTACAGAGCACGTCCTGGTTCAGAGTTCATCTCTTTGCCTTATTCTTGAAATCAAGAAACCTCAGCTTGCCACAGTATCTTATTTTAGCTGGTTGCAAAATATGTACTCAGTAATTAAGTTCATAAGACGTAGAATTAAATGCTCAAACAAACTGACATTAAACTTCCTGTCAGACAGGGGTCATGTGACACATTTATTGTGTGTCTGGTGAACTCAAAACTTTTATGTTTCTGTATTGTACTGAACGTAAAGTTTTGAGTGGAAGCTGTTTCCAAAAAATTTTAAGTTGACTGAGTGCACAGGGGTTTACAGTGTAGAGAGCACAGACCTTCGGCAAGGCCACGAGTCCAGTCTTTGATTTGCAAATCTGCGAGCGCAACCGCTGTATATGTTTGGACATACGTGAGTTACGCTATCTTTTGTTTTTTCTTTTGGTCACACTGACCCTGACACAAATTTTGAGTTTTATTCACAGCTTGAAAGACGGGATTTTTTTTTTTAGCTTTCTAAAGATGTCAGTGTTGTTTTTGTACTCTAAATATTAAGCAAAATGCGTCACATTACATCATGACTGTCACGAGCCATGAGTTTGATAACGAGATACATGACAGAGACTATAACGGCCCTCTGAACTCTGGGGGCTGTCCTGAGTGAAAAACACCCAGAAAAGCAAAGAGACACTTTTATTTTTTGTCAGAAAATTCACTGAATAATTGAATTGTGGAGAATCTAACATAATTAACAATGACCAGCTCGTCCACACTGATAATAACGTTCATTTAACGTTATATTTTGGTGTGCGATGCTCAGCCGTTGAGAACTGCTGTACAGTAACTGAAGCACTAAAGTTCAGTTGCTGATTTATTTTTATCTCTTCAAGGGCCGACGACGACACATTAAACACATTAAATAAACCTTTATTTTAATCAGACAAACCCCACTGTCCCGGCCCGTCCTTACTGTCAAAAGTGCATGTTTGACCAAAACGTAAATAGATAAATAAAAATCTGTCTGGTGCCGCAAAACATATTTGAGTCTTATAATGTTAGCTTAACATTAGCTAGCTGTTTAGGGCCTGTTTATACAGTTCCATATATTTCTGAAAACGGGTATTTACCTCTGCGTTAGCACCTATCATTTACATGTAAGCGGCGTTTTTCTTGACGAAAATGGAGATTTTCAAGAAACGGCTTCCAAGGTGAACATTTTTAAAAATATCCAACCATCACGTAAGCAGGATAGATGGAGATTTTGGAAAACGATGATGTTGCAACCCAGTTCGTGCATGCCCATTAGGCGCCCGGGAACCACAACAACAATGGCAGATATATGCCAGGTTGTTTATGTTTTGTTAGCACTTTTGGGAATACTTACGAGCTTACAAATGAGCTTAGCACTGCTGGATCAACATCACCGCTACATCGGCGCACAAAGACGTCTGCTGTGCCCAATATTAGTAAGTGTATAACAGCTAACTATGCTACATAAGGTTAAAATGTATTTTATCATTGTTTTTATCACTAGCGCCAAGAGGAAAATAAATCACTGTGCATGCGCAGAACGTTCTTCTATGGTGTTTGACATATGGCGTATCGCCACCTACTGGCCTGGCTAATTGCAGCAAAAAGCTGCCATTTTTGCGTTTTCATGTAAACAGGGATATCGTTTTCACAACTGATTGTGTAAACCCGGAATTATTTTTATACAGGATAAATAAAAATTCGTTTTTTATTTGTATCCGTGTAAACAAGGCCTTCGATTGCACATACAGATAGAAATGTTTAAACTTTTGTCACTTTTGCTGCACATCGTTAGCTCAGTTAGATTCTCCACAACTCAGTCGTTCAGTTCATTTTACTGAAACCGTGAGCACCAGAGAATAAGATTAAGATTTACCAGCAAGACAGGAAAATAATGGTGACTCTCTTCCTCTGAAACGTCATCAAGTCTGAATATGTCTGTTCCTCGATCACCCTGTGAATTCATATTCCTTTAGTCCGTAAGAATCCACTGATTCATTTTTCATAAAAATGAATCCAAGTTGTGAATATTGTTTTAACAGGATACAGTTGTGTTTGGTCGGTAAATCTGGTGTGGTAATCCTTGAGTGCTGTCAAGAGTGTCATAACTCTCTCTGATGTCCTGTCTGTCAGAAGTACATTAAATGAATGATTTGTAGGTGATATGTTATTCAAGTCGTCATAAGTAATGTTCATACTGGTTTAAATAAACAATTTGATCAAGTTTTCCATCTTTGCTGAGCAGGAAAAAAAGGAATTAAAGGCCTGTTTCATAAAGACGCACTAACTTTAGTGACCTGATCAAATAATAGCCTGGGCTACTAACTTAAGTTTAACAATGAGTACTTCTCTTAATGCTCCCTGAGTACTCTTTTAATGTGGTAAATAAAAAAATAAAAAAATATATATATACTATATAATATTAAAATGTAAAAATATATTAGATTTATATCATCTATAATAATATTTTTGTATTGATATTAACAATACATAAAACATATATTAAACCATGTATTCATGATTATATATATTTTTTAAAAAACTTTAAAGTGCTTAAATAATTGTAAATAAGTGATTAAACAACCTTCATTCTTTTTGTAGTTTCATTTTTTTAAAAACTCAGAAAACATGTAAATATAAAAAAAAAAACCAACAACATTTTTTGCTATTTCTGTTAGTAGTTTATTTACCACAGTAAGCTAATGTTCTGAAAACATGTAATGGAGTATTTTCATAAGGTGGCGGTACGATAGTAAAGTATGTGAATACTTTTTCCACCAGTGTTGATATATTTAAGATCTCTATTCAGTGTTTGGAACGTTACTTTTGAAATATAATAGTTTATTACATTAGTAACAAGTAATCTATAGGTAATGTAACTATTTTATTTACTTCATCAAAGTGATGTAACTGATTACATTTGATTACCTCTTGAGCTGGGCAATAAAGCTGAAACATGTCCAGAAATAGGCCAAAAGAAAGCAACAGAATTAATTTTTATTCTACATATTTTACTGACAATATGTTCAGATGTAACCGCCTTTGTAATCACCAATATTTTAATTAGGAACTTCAATTTAATTACATGTTTGTCTCAGTATGTCAGCAGACTGTTTGTATCGAGACTTTCACTCACTGTCCTCTGTCTCCATCAGAACACATGTTAATGCTGCTCGGCCTGTTTGCTCAGTTAGCCACGTTAGCTTCTCTGATGGCTACTGTTCATCAGACACCAGCGAAGAAGACGACACTCACTTCACACGCTCTCTCTGTCTCTCTGTTTGTGACTTTAAAATGATAAAATATGAAAACTTTATTTCTTATAGTGAAAAACAGAAAAACTCACCTGAGCAATTTCAGAGATCACCTCCCTCCGATCAGAGCTGTGTCATTCTGAGGGCCGAGTGTGTGTCACTGTGTGTGTGTGTTCACGTGTCATCATGGACCTCACCGTGTGTGTGTGTGTGTGTGTGTGATCACATCATATCAAACTCCAAAGGTTCACTGTCTTGGTGTTAGCTTTACGAGCCGGCCAATGTTAATGTTTAACTTGCTGCTATCTGTAGAGAGACACACACACACACACACACACACACACACACACACACACACTAACACATGCAAATACACATATGTAGCACACACACACAGCCAGCAGGACTGTGTGTGTGTTTCAGGAGGCCTTTGACCGACAGTCACTATCTGGATCAGAGTGCTCTGCAAAGGTCTCTTCACCTGCTAACACACACACACACACACACACACACACACACACACACACACACACACACACACACACACAGGGAGAACATGGCAGCTGTTACACTCTTTCTTCTGTCAGCATGCGACTTGTTAAATAAAGTTTCAATAAAACGTTCAGAGCTCCACCAACTTATCTGTTCTGTCACAACTGGGTCAAAGTGTCTCTGGTCACTTCACTCATCACATCACAGCAAGTCAGCTTCCGAGCACACGTCCCAGCATGCTTTGCATTTGGATTAAAGTCCGCCAGAAAGTTGAGTTTGTCCTAATTTGGAGAAATTCAGTTTTTGTTCAGAGCTCTGTGGCTGTGGTTGTCGATGCTCTCACTCATTCACAAACACTGTGTACACATGAGGCACCTGGTGGATCAGTGGATGGAGCAGGTGCCCCATGTACAGGGGTTTGATTCCAGCATACGCACATTTTACGCACAAGTTCAGTTTAATTCAGTGTATTTATTTGCACAAATGTAAAGAAAAGACAGGAAAAAATACATAAAAGTTTAAACATTGTACAGGAGAGTTTAGATATATAATATCTATAGTATAAAAATACCTCAACTATTAAATAACAACATCATACATAAAAACTGACCCCTTTGGACGTGAAGAAGGAGCAGCTCTACTCTGACTCCTCCCCCTTTCTCTTAAGCCTAGTTCACATTACATGATTTTCATCGCGATTTTGACATCGCAGAGGATCTTGAGAGCCACCTTGGGTCGGAGATGAGTCGGCAGATAGTCTGCCACGACGAGTCCTCATGTGTGAACACGCCTACGAGCAAGTCGCCCCCTCGTCTGTGACTGGGACTGGATATCTGGCATGCTAGAAAACTGGAGAAGTGTGACACAACTGAGAAAGAGCATCAGCCAATGAGAGGCGGGATACATCCCACGTCAGCACGCAGGAGGACGGAAGAAATGTGAGGAGGACAAGCCGCAGGGTTGCCAGGTCTGCTTATTAGCCGTGACTTTGGGCTTGTTTTTTGTAAAGTCGCTTACAAATATTGGTAGTCGCGGGCTGCATTTTTTTTTTGGGCTTGTTTCTAAAGTGGAGTTGCTTATTTGGGCTTGCTCTCTAAACGTCGCCTTCCTCTATATATATCCGTCGCTTCTTTTGGGCTTGTTTCCATAGCCCTGGTTGCTTGTTTCTCTCCCAAGATCTGGCAACACTGACAAGCCGGGAAGCAACAACAACAATGGCGGCGTCCACAGGATCACGGGGAGCACGTTGTGTTTGGACCCAGGCCCTGGAGGCAGATCTGATTCAACACTGGGAAAAATATCCATGAATTTACCATGTGTAGTCTCCAAGTTTGGTGACGTCACCGCGTTATCTGGGGCTCAGTCGGCGAGGGCTCGGTGGAGAAATCTTGTGGTGTGCACACACAGGTCGTAACACAGTTGGCGAGACTCCCAATGACAGAAACACACGTTGCCAGGTATGAACACTCAAAAGAATACGTCATTCTCCGCGATGCGTTGCAAGGTGAAAATCGTGTAATGTGAACTAGCCTTAAGGCTGAGCCCAGACACCCTACAGAGGAAACTCATTTCAGACGCTTGTATCCACAATCTCTTTTTCAGTCACTACCCAGAGCTCATGACCATAGCTCATATGTACTTTGTGGACTTGGAGAAGTCTATGACCACGTCCCACGGGGTGTCTTGTGGGGGTACCGGGGTTGCTGCTACGAGCCATCCGGTCCTTGTATGACCAAAGTGAGAGCTGTGTCTGCATACTTGGAACAAAGTCAAACACATTCTCAGGGTTGTCCCTTGTCACCGATCCTGTTTGTGATACTCATGGACAGGATCTCGAGGTGCAGCCGGGGAGAGGAAGGGGTCCAGTTCCAGGACCTCAGAATTCTGCTTTTTGCAGATGATGTGGTTCTGTTGGCTTCATCACATCGTGACCTCCAGCATGACCTGGGGCAGTCTGCAGCCGAGTGTGAAGCGGTCAGGATGAGAGTTGTTTGTCTACACCTTAAAATCATTCATTATTTTTCAAAAACAAAATATCTGCTTTATTTCAGACGAAATTAACCCAGCAGTTGATTATTTAATTTGTAAAACGCTGCTGCTCCGGTTCGATCTTTCTACGACATTCACAACATTGTTTTGGTGTTTTTATTTTCTCCTAAGATCGTTAGGTTAACCACAACGACATATTACCTAGAACCAGACTGCATTAAGAGCGCAGCAGCCGTCCTCTCCAGTTGGAACTCATCCACAGTTTGAACTGAATGTTGTTTGATGTGAAGTCGTAGAGTCGAGTAAAGAAACGTTTCTACGTCATGTCATGAGACGGAGCTGTCGATCATCCAGCAGCTGCGAGGAAACACACAGAGACATTTATTCTGTTTTTAGTTCAGTAAATATTTACTGATGCTCACTGGAAAGTTTTAACACTGGACAGAGGTGTGTGTGTGTGTGTGTTGGCAGTCAGACAGTGAGGTCCTTGATTCGATCAAAGGGAGGAGGGCTACGACACCACACACTAACACAGTGTATGTCTTTAATCCACTGCAGGACTCCACATATGATTTGACAAATAAAGATTTCCAGTGAACCCAAATGTTCTCATGTTTGGTGTCTGTCTCTTTAACGGCTCACACTTAAAGGAGTCTTCCACAGATTTATCATCTCACTCTTTTCAATCTGTCCGACTCAGGGCAGACAGTTTACAACAAAGAGGACTGAAGTCGACGCAGCAGAATCAGAGATATTGTATTTTTTATTCCACACAATCTTCTTTGCGTGCAGCAGAGATGAGCAGCAGGCTACAGAGGCAGGCAGTCAGTCGCCAGAGGAAAGTGTTGGCATTGTACATTTGTATGTGTCACACAGTTGAGTTCAACAAGCTTTATTAGCTCGATATTTAACATGTTCCTGTAGCACAAATACAATTAAAAGGCAGTCAGTAAAGTTTACAACTGACAACACGTGACAACGGTCAGCAGAGCAAAAAAAAAAGGTCTACGGTTGATCCTTAAATTCGATTAAGTCCAATAATTTACTTACTGACTTAAAGCAACTTTTACCTTTTTTGCATTTCACACAGCACTTAGAAAAAATTTGAACATCCAAAACTCCGCCCCTCCCGCTGGGTTTGGATGAGGGGAAATGTTCCTCTGCTGGCCTGACTGTGAGGAGATGGACTCCAGCTGTTGGCTGTCTGTCTCTCAGTCTGACCTCTGCAGGCTCACTGATGTGGAGTCAAACCGACTGAACCGATCAATATTCGATTTTTATTCTGAAACCATTTCGTCTCTTCAGGACAATCTGAACCTGATTTACTTCTTTACAGTTTCTTTTTATATTTCTGGAGAAACTTTGATCTCAGTTGTGTCTCTGTTTGTCCAGTTGCATCCTCTCCGTCTCTGTCCGGACACTCATCGGAGGAGGATGAGCGGGCTGGAGGCGGACTTGTCCCGGCTGCTGCGGCTGAAGGAGGAGCGGATCGGGCAGATGGAGCGGAGGCTGCGGGAGAAGGAGGAGGAGGCGCTGGAGCTGCGGAGGAAGCTGCATAAGTGTCAGTCGGTGCTGCGGAGCCGCGGCGTCTGTAACCCGGACTGCTGGCCGGACAGCCGGCGCACCCGGCGGGCTGCGGGGGTGTCCGCGGAGCCGGTGGAGGAGACGGAGCTGCGGAGGTTCTCCAAGACACTCAGGTGAGGGGACACACCTGAGACCTGCTGAGCGACTTTTTAAAGAGGTCTGCACAATATTTATAATAACAATATTTATTACTCCCTGGTTTCATATCAGTCTTATTTTATTCCACTGTACCTTCATTTAAGAGCCAGTAGAAACCAGTGTTAGTGCTTGATTTATCAATAAAATAGAATATTAAATTACAGGCTGTAAGTGTTACTAAAACACTTTTTATTTGTTATTAATTATTCATATTTTAAATGACTTTAAATGCATGAAGAGTTGAATCACAGCTGTAAAGTGTATTCATAAGAACACAAGCGTTTACAGATTTCTACACAGTTTGCATTCACCTCTAAAGACTTTAAATTATTAAAATAAATGTACAACAACAGGACAAAAATATATAATTTAATGAGGTATCTCTGTATAAAATATCTTATGGTAACTCCCAAAGAGAGTTCAGTTTGAAACGCAGAGAAATGGAACCATAAATACAGGATGAAGCTCAAGTGTTATGATTTAGCCCAGAAGCTGCAGTGTGTTGTAATGACGGAGAGCAGCCAGCAGAGGGCGCCACAGGGCCGCAGCTCACACTCGTGTCCTCTGATGGCTTCAATGTTTCAGCTCCTCGTGATGAAGATCTCAAGTTAAATGTTGCCTGAAGAAAACCAAAGAGCTGACACTGCTGCCTTTACACCATCAGGGCGGATCAGTGAAGATGAGTGGTGAACAAAAATGTGGGTCGGGGCCCTCCCAGAGGTTGAAAAAAATATATTAAAAAGAAATTTCTGTTTTTTTGTGCACTGGATATCTTCAATGCTCTGGCCTTTGTTTTGCATCTTTGTGTGTTTGTTTTGCAACTTTTAGAAATCATTTTTCATCTCTTTGTAGTTGTTTTGCATCTTTCTTGCATCTCTGGTCATTTTGTGTGTCTTTATAGTTGTTTTGCGTCTCTTCGTAGTCTCACTGGATCTCTTTTTGGTCTTTATATCTCTGTGGTCTATTTTCATCTCTTTATGGTGAGTTGCGTCTCTTTGCAGTCATTTTTC